GCGGCGGGGAGTGCGGAGACGACGTTGAAGCGGCAACGCACGAGCACGAAGAAGTCGCAGCTGGAAGATGACGACGGGCCGCTGGCGCAATCGAAGCGCAAGCGGACGGCGAAGAGCGATGGGGGTAGCAAGAAGAAACAAGGGCCAAGTCGAGCAAGCAAGGGGAAGTCAGGGGGAGGTGGCGCGGCCGGCAGCACGGGGGGGGGCAACTACGACTCCGATGGGAGCATTGGCGACGAGGGCACGGACTGGACTTATCTCGGATGCAGAGGCGCGCTCCCTTCTCTCACAAGGAGTCAACAGTTGCTGCGGCGCAAGCTGAACAAGATCGCTGAACCAGCGTACAAGGCGGCGTTCAAACGTACGAGCATCATGAAAGCGAAGGCCGAAAAGGTGTGTTCTGTGTCCCGCGTTCCTCTTGTGATCATGTGTGATTGCGCATCCGTTAGGGCGTGCTTGTAGGAGTGTGTGCCTTTTGTCTAGTGTCGGCGACTGATGTGTCGTGTTATGTTCCGTACCGGGTTGAACCTCTGGTTGACGTGCTTTGTTTGAGGCAGTGACACATTATTGCAATGGCCTCTTGTGATCTATTCTTTGTTCGCGCGGGTCTTTTTGCTGCGGTGTTGTGTAATGCAACTCATTTTCTCGTATCACGTACAACGTCCCTTCGTCGTTGGTTGTACGCAATGGTTCCGTCGTGGTCGACGCCGTTGTACTGTCGCTTGTCCACGACGGTTGTCAGGAATATTTGCTGCTGTACATTGTTCAGTCCGAAAACGTGTGGCCTACTTCCACGCCCCCGCCTCACGCCCGTAGTGATACGCTTATGGTTGTTTTTCGCGCGCATGTCCGCATTTTCACCAATTGTTCTTTTTTTGTCCCAACCATCGCTGTTCACGTTTGTTTGTTCGCTGGACGTGTTGAACGCAGCTCCGATATGAACGGCACAAGAAGAAGGAAGCCACCAACCTCACGCGGAAGAAAAAGTCCAAGTCCAGAAAGTCGCCACCCCCAGAGCTGGAGGAGGAGAGCGGTGACGAGGAGGTGGTGTGGACGGAAAGGGGGATGGAGGAATACGAAACGTCCGACCACTTCACGAGGCGCAACAAGATGTCAAAAGACATCGGGCGTGGAGTTTCGTTGTCGGCAGAGGCTTGCGCCACGCTGCCATCGTTGGACAACTTCATGTCGCACCAAACCCTACCAGCGGGGAGTTTTCGCTTGACCTCGTCTTGGAGAAGTGCTTGGACCTCACCTTCCCGCAAAGTGCGCGAAAGTTGTTTTTGGATAAGGTATGTTAGTTATGTTGTTGTCTTGTTGCGACACGCACCGCTTTGCTTTCATGTGTCCCGTGGTGCGCGTGTGTGCGGAGTATTGAAACAGGAATTT